GCGACAAGAATGATTAAAGGTCTAGAGAACATGACCTATGAAGCCAGGCTTCATGAACTGGGCTTGTTTAGTTTGGAAAAAAGAAGATTAAGGGGGGACATGATAGCGGTTTTCAAATATCTAAACGGGTGTCACAAGGAGGAAGGAGAAAATTTGTTCCTCTTGGTTTCTGAGGACAGGACAAGGAGTAATGGGCTTAAAGTGCAGCAGGGGAGGTTTAGATTGGACATTAGGAAAAAATTCCTAACTGTCAGGGGGGTCAAATATTGGAATAAATTGCCAAGGGAGGTGGTGGAATCTCCCTCTCTGGAGATATTTAATAGCAGGTTAGATAGACATCTGTCAGGGATGGTGTAGACGGAGCTTGGTCCTGCCTTGAGGCGGGGGGCTGGACTCGATGACTCTTGAGGTCCCTTCCAGTCCTATTATTCTATGATTCCATGATTAGGATTTTTAATGGTTATATGGTTAAATTTGTACCCAGTTTTTTACATCCCTAGTCTCTATGGAGACGTTAGATGCTCCATAAGAGTCTCTGTGGTGTGCAGAAGGGCCCAGAAGGAAGTCTGTGGGTGATGTGGTTTGGGGAGGGACTATGTATGAAGAGGTGACGTGTTGGTGAAAGATTAACATATGTGCAGGAAGAGATATGGAAGGTCCTCATTCTGCTTTCAATAAATCCAGTGATTTCTAAAACTCCACGAGTCTTCAGGTCACATCCTCACCTCAGATTGCTTCTGAGGAACTAGGCCAATTTGCACTCGCTAAGGGTCTGGTCCTATCTTTGCGAGGCTTGGAAATTACAGAGACATCCATGTAGCTCTCAGGTTTCATAAAAATCCTTGTAGGAATCAGAGTGTCTGCAGAAGTGATTGTATTTGTACCTCTGCTTTATACACTGATTTCAATGGCAGCTAATTGGGAATCAGCCCATCTGCCTCCCAATTTTTAAACTGACCTTTTAAAACAAGATTATCTGACTGGTGCTGTCAGCATAATTGATTTTTTGTTTCAGGCAAAAGGCAAAGATTAGCTGAAGAGTCTGGCATATTATACTAATTTACCATTTGTAAGTCTACTCAACAAACACAAGTTTCCATTGTACACCCACATGCCAAATTCAGTTTTCTTGCAAGCTCTGGATACTAACTAAAGAGTCACCAAATACATAAGAAATATGTATTTTATTCCTCAAAACACATTGTTAAACTCATGAGTCACAACTCATCCTAATTAAAACAAAAACAAAAACAAAACACACAAAACCCCCCAGTTCCCAGGCAATAACACTGGCCCCAACCATGATGAACAATATTCCCAGCTGTGGACAGCTTCAGATTTATAATAGGTCTGTAGAAATACATGACTATCACCTAGCATCCTGGGAAATACAAAACAGCTGGTTTTCTGAGCCTTGCCCAACATTGGTCTTAGGGGAAAAAAAGATTATTGCCTAGTAGCAAAGACACAAATGTGGAGTCTGTTTCATTCTATCAGCCAAATTCAGCACTACTGACCTCAGTGAAGGCGCATCATTTGTATGGGAACCAAAAGGACTATGAGTAAGGGCTACTGGTTTTCATATTTCCATTGCAAAATCGTCACACGAATACTAATTTTATTGAAAGGCAAAGTCATCACCTGAAGATATCCATCTATCTTCACACTGAACATAATAGTCAGGGCCTGGTAAGATGTTCTTTACTTTGGCTAGAAAATTCACTACTGAGAAAATATTCATCTTGCCCATGTCATGAATATTAACTATTTCCCCATTTGTTATATCCAGGCTTCAAATTCAGCCAATTATATTGAAACGTGTGTTTAAATAAAAAAATCACCTGAGGAAGCAGTTAACCATAACTCCCACATGGCCAGTATGGCTAACCCCTTGTAACATGGTGTGACTCACCGCCATGGTGGTCCTCCGCCTCAGGGACGCACCTCCCCGCCCAAGTCCCTAAACCTATCTTGTCTCAGTGACGCACTGCCAGTCATCTTCTATTCTCTTACCTCAAGAGCAAACTGTAGTCTGAAATGGCCACTCATCATAGGAAAGGAGTATGGACCTGCTTCCTTCTCCTGCCCTGTTTTCCCACAGCCCTAGTAACCTTGGGCCTTGCCACAGGCCCTGCAGCCTGGGAGTTTTCCTGGCCGAGTTTCCTGCAACCTGGAAGCTTTCCTGGCAGCTCTGCCTGCCTTTCCCCAGCCCTGCTCTAAGTCAGGAAGCCTATAGCTCCCCTGGCAGCTAGGTCCCTCCTGCTCCACAACTGGAGAAAGAGTGAGTTTTTCTCTGCCCCTCCAGGAGCCCTTATTTATATTGTCCCAGCTGGGCCCTAATTGGCTGTCTCTACCTCAGCTGTGGGCTCCACCACTCCAGCCACCTCTTAGGCCTGGGTTTTAACCCTAAAAGGTCCTGTGCAGGGCAAATGCTCTATCACACCCCTCCACAGGCAGCTGACAACCAAACAGCCATGGTACCAGAAACGTATGTATTTGTGTGTATGCACTGAGATTCCTCTCAAGATAGCAGCAAGGATGAAAGAAGAATAATGTTCTGGCAGGAGAGGAAACAAGATCTTGTATAGATGGTTGGGAGTAGATTCAAACCTAAATGTGAAAGACTCTTGGCTCTCCAGGAAACTTCAAAAGATTGCAGGCAGAACGTGGGGTTGGCAAAACATCACCTCATGGAGGAGCAAGGCTTGCTGCTGAAGTTTTAGTTCAAGCGTGCAAGAACCATAGGGCTTCACTACATGTAACTTTGATGAAGTTTTATTACTAGGATTCACATTCAGGTTTTCTCCCAAAGGATTTTTACAAGGGACAAAATACCAAATGGTTCCAGTGTTCATTCGGGATCATACAAATGGGATATTTGTTTTCAGATCCAAGGATAAAGCATACCTGTAATGTTAAAATCATCAATCTATTCCAACTCCTTTGAGTGAGATGGAAGAAGTGCATTGGCAGGCTTTTAAACCTAAACCTACATCTAGAAGTGTGCTAAATTCTCAGCTAAATTGAACAGAAGCTGGGGTTAAATCCCCTGTTTATTACCAAAAATCTCTGAACAGTGTGGTCTGATTTTCGAAGGCCTGGCAATTTGTATGATCATTTACACCTCTTCAAACTGTCATTCAAGTCGAATAACAAACTCCATTTAACACAGATATTACAATGGAGAATCAGATCCATAATATCTAGGGTGTTGGCAGGAACACAGAGGAAAGTAAAAAAGTGTTTTACTGATAAAAGTTATCAAAACAATACATGACAGGGTGGTGTAGTGTGTAAGTTTTACTGACATGAATTTTTGGATGGCAACATAGGAATGAGCAGTTTAAGTAACTCAGCCAAACTAACAAGCAATTAATGCTTTTTCTTTCTCCACTTTGTGTTCCACTTATCCAATCTTGAATTTACATAATGGCCAGCACTTCTTGTACAGTTTCACGCTTCCCCCATAGGGTCAGGTAGTTTCCCCTGTGGGTTCTTATCTTTCAGAAAAGTGTTAAGAAAGAAAAAAAACCAATGTGATTGTAAATCCAAAGCACTGGGAGATGAGCTCAGGGTCAGTACCTGAGATGACTTCCAAAATCACTTCTTAAGGTCAGAAGTTAATGATGTGTCTTTAAAGATTTGCATATTACTCTGGTGCTACATACCAAACATTGACTTCTGCAGGTGTTATGTTTACTTAACACATTTGAAGTATGTATGGTGCCAATATATAATTTTTTTTTTTTTTTTTTTTTTTTTACAGAACAAGACCTTTGGCCTACTGCTGTTGTTCAGGATATTATTCTAAGTTTGAAAACACAAGGTCCCACTCTGATTAACTCAATTAAATCAGCATTTGCTATGAAAACAAAGGAAAAACAGAAGTACTTGGGTTCTCAGATTAGCAGGAAAGGGAGAGGCTACCAAGCCCAGTTCACGCATATATAGTTTATTTTGGACAGGTGCCATCATGACTCTTTCAACCCAGTGTCTAGATCTGATCTTAGTTCCCCTGTTATCACAGTGGGAAGAGGTGTTTCAGGATGTTACCTGGATGACATCTGAAGATTAATCTGCATTTTCTAGATCCACTGCAGACATTTTACAAGAAATAAAGAAACATTAAAACCCATCATGAGAATATTTGGTGCCACATCATCAAAAAATGATGTTCCATTTGATTTGATGAAGAATGAATCAGAAATGTGAGATGCATTCATACTGATTTGCAGCAGTGGAGTCCGCATTCATTACTGTAATGAGCACAGCATAAAGCTTCTAATCAACGTTTATTACAGATGTCAAAAGGAAACCAGCAGCAAAGAGGAACTACGTGCTCTTGCCAACCCTGATCAAAAACATCATAAACTTCTAGACCAAAAGTGTCAAGAAAAATGCAGTATTTCTTTTGCTTCCTATTAGTGCCTGTCAATATATTCTAGAGTTTTTGAATGAAGTTCTTGCATTACTGGGTTTAGACATTTAAAAATTTAGCATCACTTACAGCAACTATTGTAAATACTTCTGTAAGAGCTGTGGTGTCTTCTTGGAATACTAGAACAATTTATTTTTATCAATATGGTCACAGCTAAAATTGTGTTTAAGTGGCTAGTCAAATCAGGCATATAGCCAGTTACATCTAATCCCTTCTCTGCGTGGTAAGTCATTTCAACATCAGTAATGAGTGGGGGAAGAGAAAGGGATGTCTATGACTGATACCTAATTTGAAATGCAGTTGGACACCAGAAAACACTGTCCACAGTCTTTAAAATTCATCTAAGAGAAACAACAGTAGAAGTCTATTTATTCTGCCAAATTAAGCAGGTAAAAAACCTTGTTTCTTTTAGAAAGACAAAAGAAGTTTAGAGATTTATTTGATTTCATGCGCATGTGTCTCAGTGAGAAGGCAAGAACAAATGTTTCTGGGCCATTTTTATATAATGGTTCAATATTATCAAACAAAAAAATCTATAGTGTAAATAAGAAAAAAGCCTTACCTTCTGGTAACCTGGAGGCAGCATGAATAGAATTAGGGTCTCCACCTTCTTCAGGCTGATAATGATAAAGCATCTGTGACTGCTTTTGGGATGCCTGACTATGGTCTTCTTTCAGAGCAATGGGAGGTGATGTGGTGGAACTAAATTTGACCTTAGGGAAAGTATTTTCTCCATGCTTTTCATGGGAAGGTCTGTGACCATGTGACACGGTCACATTTGTCTCTTTCAGAGCTGGAGATATACTGCTCCCCTGCTCTTTATAATCTTTTCTCATGTGTTTCCTTGGCTTAGGGCGAGCAATTCCTTCTTGTTCATGTCGCTCTCTCTCTCCTTGTTTCCCCTTTGTTTTTCTCTCTGATTCTACCACTTGCTTTGCCATCAGCATCATAGCAGTTGTTTGTTCCTCAGGGACACTGCTAGGTGTGGTTACTTTTTCACTCAGGACCTGCACTGTGGGGGCCATTGTGGTGCGTAGGTCTCTCTTTTCCTCCTCTTGTGCCGATGCACTGCTAAGTTCAGGATGGGGAGTAGAAGCGTTTGTGGTGACTGCTACAGCAGCTTCTTCGGTGTGTGTAACAGGTTGAGTCAATGGTGGGGAAGTAACGCTGATTGCATGGTACTCGTAATCCTCGCTTTGCTCTTGGCCAATGCTGTCTTCTTCTGTATGGGCTGCAGAGTTCCTGAGTTTTTTGGGAGATTCCACCTGAATGGCGTCTCCTTCGGGTGCCTCCTGGTCATAGCTGTACGGATCATCGTAGTGCCTCTCTGTCTGGTTCTCTTCAGTATCCGTTGGACTCAAGGTGGATGCCCCACAGTCTGGGAGCTGGTAGCACATCAGTTCACCTCCAGAATTTGGGCAATGGCAAACCTTGCATGGAGGAATATGGAATGTATGGCCAGCTACATACTTCTGACCTTCATGGAGACAGCCTATTCGTCCACACTGAGGACAGCCATCAGCTGGTAGCACCGCATCAATACAGTTTGGAGGCAATTCGGGGCAAAGCATAAACTGGCAACTTATCTTGCCTCCTCCCTTGGGACATGAGCATTCAGTGCTTCCAAAGTCCACAAAATAAGATTGCCCTTCGGGCACTTTGCCATTCATGAATCCCACGTTGACACAGTCATAGTACTGGTAGCCTTCACAAGTACAACCATGTTGCAAACAAGAGGCACAGCATTCACCAGGCTCAAGCACCTCTTCAATACAGTTCTCCAGTTGCTGGCACTCCACTCCTGTGCAGTCTTTCTGGGCATGTGAGATGCCAGTCCAAATGAGCACCAACAGAACAGTGCACAAACAGCTCAGATGAGGTGCTATGTGCTTATCCATAGTCCTTTTATACAAATAAGGCACCAATCGATTTTTGCTCACCCTATTTTTTTCCTGACGAACTGAGGGTTCAGCTCCCAGTCTGCAATATTTTCCTGAATTCTCCTTTTCTCCTAGATCCTAGGTTTATGAAAGAAAACTCTGTTAAATGCTATATTCAGCACATATCCTGTTAAACATTAGAAATCCTTAAAAGTTGGGATACAGTCCAACATCTGGAAACCCAAGTATAAAATTAATCATAATGTCTTCCAAGCATTGCAAGCATTGGACTTCAAGCTGCATATTTTTCTTTTCTCTCTCCCTCCTTTTCATTTAAGGAAAATAAAAAAAAAAAATTGATCAATTCATAAGAAACTTAGTAAAATTTAAAAATTGCCCTTTTTTACTTCAGTGGACTTTAGTAATCGTTTCATCTGACTAAATAAAGGCAAGACATTTTTGGCAGATAATAAGCAAATGCGCAGCTCTTCCTCTGCAGATATAACTTTTAGATATTGAATCTTTATATTTTAATTACAAAAGATGAAATCCCGAATATGTAAATGAAGCAAAACTTTGATTAGGGACTTTTTGATTTGTTCCTGTATATTTAAGCTCTGAATGAGTGGGGGTTTTTTCCATTAGCTAAATACAATGACATTTTGCTGACAATGATGTTTTTCCCTCTGCAAAGCTTGTAAACTCAAGACATAAAGCTTCCATTATATGTCACTGCAGTTATGTGTAAACATCACATTAGTTGTGCATACATGAACCCCTCTTCTACTTATCACCTCAAGGGCAAGATCCTCAGCCAATATAAACTGACATAGCTTCTCTGAAAGCCTAGGACTCAACTCCAGATCTTCAGCTAGTGTAAATAGCCATCCACGCTGAATTCACTCAAGCTATGGCAATTTACATCAGCTAAGGATCTGCTACAATATGTAGCGATGTAATTTATTTGTGTCAGTACCAAAAAGGCTTTGGTTCAGCTCCTCAAGGATCTGAAATCCATGGGAGTTAGGTACCTAAATACTTTTGAGAAACTGGACTGCTCTGACTTTGAAACCAAATATTCTAGAGTAATCAGCATGTAAAAGCATTGGAATCTGAGACATTAATACCTAAAGTGCACATTGAAAATGTTTAATCATTTTGACACTGTGCTACAGACAGATTAATTTAAAAGTTAAGCAAATCAACTGCTGTCATATCACAAAACATACAAACAACTGTTTACGGTTAACATGGAAAGGTACATAATGCAGAATAAATCTGACTTTAGTTTGATAGAACTAGTGGTTCAAAACAGGGTTTTTTTATTTTAAAAGTTGTCTGATGGGGAAAAAGTTTTCACTCTCAGCATCACCAGGAATAATAAACATCAGAAAACAGTAAATCTGCCAAAAAAACATTCAAAAGATTACTTCTCCCACTTACACTGGGTTTCCAACAAGTGAGCTCAGAGGTACTACTGGAAATTGGCCAAAATGTGAGAAAAGCGTGCCTGTCTTGATAAGATATAAATCTTTTATTATATTTAGACTTTTCCAAGGTTCCATGGTTCTGCAGTACAATTGCTAGACAACATTACTAATTAATAAAATAACAAGTCAGAGTTAAATTAGTGGAAACTACTGTGATTCAATGAAAAATAAAAATACAATAGAATAAGGATGTAAACTAATGTTTAAAAAGTTAACCAATGAAACACTGTGATTAACCAGTTAAACACGGAACAGCTAGCCGCCGGCAGCAAGTTCAGCCCGGGTTGGCTGGAGCAGTCCACGGTGCAGCGGGCCCAGCCAGAACAGCTAGGTCCACAGGACCACCGCACCATGAGCTGATCTGGCAAGGCTGAGCCAAGCCAACCACACCACACGCAGGCTTGGGCCAGGGTGGGCCCACTGCACTGCTCTGTGGATAGGGAGCTGCTCCAGCCTGTCCAGGCCACAGGTTAACTGGCTACTGGTAAGCATCACACAGTAAAGGTGATGCTTACCGGGTAACTGGTTAACCGGTTACCCCTTTACATGCCTACGATAGAACACTGGTCTCCAACCTTTTTATGCCCACGTTCACTTTTTAAATTTCAGGGCCCCGCCCCTACCCCAAAGCCCCACTCACCCCCCCTCCATTACTTGCTCTCCCTCCATCCTCACTCAGAGGTGCGGGTTCTGGGCCAAGGCTGAGGGGTTCAGGAGCAAGAAGGGGTGAGAGGTGGCAAGTTCTGTGAGGAAGTTTGAGTGAAGGGGGATAGAGTGTTGGGGTGCAGAAGGGAGTGTGGGGTGCTGGCTCTGGGAGAGGGTCAGGACTAGAATGGGGGGTGCAAGGTGCAGGTTCCGGATGGCAAGGCAGCAGGGCTCAGACAAGCTGCCTGCTTGCTGTGACTCCATGCTGCTCCCAGATGTGGCTGGCTGCAGGTTTGTCTCTATGCTCTCCTTAGGGAGAAGGGGACAGCATGTCTCTGTGTGCAAGCCCCTGTCCCCAGCACGGTCCTCACAGCTCCCCTTGGCCAGGAGCCAGTCAACGAGAGATGGTGGAGCGGGCAGCTTGCAGAGACATGCTGTCCTCTTCACCTCAATGGGGGCCACAAAGGCCCTGCTGTGGGCTGGACTGTAGTGGCCCAGAGATCACAATTGACTGGTTGAGGCTCCAGGATTGACCAGTTGATCGCGATCAACTGGTTGGTGACCCCTGCAATAGACAGTACTAAGAACCACTATCAAACCTTGGGCACAAATGAAAAAGTAGCAGAGTATTCACTCAGCAGTCCCTGAATGAGTTCACACTGGGCTCATAAGATTTAATCATTTCATTGTTTATATATTAAGTCTGCTCTGCTCTTTCAGCAGTTCGTCCAGGTAATATGAATTTGTAATTCATTATCTGGTTTAGCCTGTGGACTACCTGGAAAGAGAATTAAAGATAAACCGCTGTTCAGACACTTTAAGGACAGAGCTCTGTTATCAGATCCTTCTGGTGACATATCTAGGTTAACACCTCAGCACGTTCAAGTCAAATTTTCCGCTGGTTGCAAATATACACACACCACAATCCTCCATGTTTCCCTCCCTAACATAAGGTTAACTTTACAGATGGTCTGAGGCACATGGCTGAACTTTGTTGCAACTGGGAGTCAGGGCCTAGCTTCTCCATTTGGGCAGGGTTTCTATGTTAAAACGTTTCCCGGCCCAGAGAAGTCAAATCACGCACCATACTGGTGCCAACATGAGCCTGCGATGCCCTATAACACTACAGTAAGACTGCTGAGTCAGAAGGTTAATAAGGGAACAAAGAACGGCTCATCTCATCAGTTTGAAAACCAGCACAGCTGTGTAGTGACTAAGAGCTGTTACTATCTACACCAGGGGTGGGCAAACACTCGCACTGGGCCAGATCCTATTCTAGAGGGTTAGCCCCAGGCAGGCCACTGCCACTATATTTATCAGTGATTCTGTGAGTATGGGCAATTGAAGCGCCCATTGGCTGCGGATCACCATTCCCGGTCTGTGCCATTTCCCCACAGCTCCCATTAGCCTGGAATGGGGATCCACTGCCATTTTATTTCCCGCCCTTGATTTCCACTAAATTGGAATTTCTGTTTTCCACTGGAATAGTTTCCCTTTCTAGATCTCCTACTTTGCTTATTCCCTCCAAACCCAATAAAGACAATAAACATTAACTAGCACTTTTGTTGATAATCTCAGTAAAGCAACCAAGCACTAAATCCTACAGCTGGGCTCTCCAAGTCAGGGTTGAGGTAATTTGGTGAAAGCAGTGTCAAGAGATACACATTGAGTTCACCTGTGGTTTGGAGTATCTCAAACACTTGACTCAATAAGGTTTGCCGCCTGACCCCTTCAACAGCACTAACCTCCCTAAAGACTCCCTGAGGCTGTATTAAAGGATGTATTGTGCTTATATATATTCAGTCTTATATTGAAATGACTAATGATACTTGTGTAGCAACCATGTATTTTATAGTTGTTGTTGTTGCACCAACCTATTAAATGTGACAAATGGAGCTGGATATTTCAGTGAGTCTCACACAGTGCTATTTGCCAGTGTAGTATAGTGTGCACCATATGCTGTCCATTGTTTCCTGCCTCTCAACTGTAGCACATGAGCAGGCTCACTTCTCAGGCATAACTTGACCATCCAATGAGAGGTGACTGAGTTTGTTTTCTGAAGTGAGTATTACAAAACCAGGGGCACTTTGGATCCAGCATGCCTAATAAACCCTTTACTGGATGTAAATACATAAGAATGGCCATACTGGGTCAGACCTATGGTCCATCTAGCCCAGTATCCTGTCTGCCAACAGTGGCCAGTGCCATATGCCCTGCAGGGAGAGAATACAACAGGTAATCATCAAGTGATCCTTCTCCTGTCATCCATTTCCAGACAAACAGAGGACATCATTCCTACCCATCATGCCTAATGGCCATTGTTGGACCTAACCTTCATGAATTTATCTAGCTCTTTTTCGAAGCCTGTTAAAGTCCTAGTCTTCACAACATCCTCTGGCAAGGAGTTCCACAGGTTGACTGCGCTGCATGAAAACAACCTTCCTTTTTCTTCTCTATTTCTTCCTGCAGTGTCATCTTCACTGATCTGGCTCCTTTCTATAGCTTTCAGATACACTCCAGCTTCCCTGAAAAGAAAATCTTTTCACTCCACTTGTCTCCATCTTCAATCTCCCCCTGCTGTCTATTCTTCCCTCTTTCACTTAATCTCCTTTGATGCTACCTGGAATCCCTGCAGTCCCATATCATCTTAAAATGGTCTTGTGTCTCCTTCGTTATCGACTGTCTGTAACATAGCTGATTATTGCTTTGCCTTGGTCTAGCTTTGAGCTTTCTTGGTTCTCTTCTTCACTCTCCAACTTCTTCTGAAGATAATTCAGTTTCCTTTCCCATTAATGATTCCTCGTCCCTATCAGTTTTGTCCCTCAAGGTTCTGTCCCTAGTTTTCCTCTGCTTTTCCACCTTTTCTCTTGAGTCTAACGTCTTAGCCTATTACAGTATTTTGTCTATGATAATTCCAACTCCTCTCCCTCCTGTCTCTTGCACTGATTTCTCATTCAAAACACTCATATCAACCTAATTAAAGCCAAATTTATCTGCCTCTTA